ACTTTAATTAAATTGTGATCAGATATATATCGGACAAGTCCATTAAAATGAATATTATCTCCTCTAATATTAGAGGAGATAATATTCATTTTAATGGACTTTTCTTTAATATTTGTGATAACATGATCAAGTATTGAGTTGTTAGAATGTTCATTATAACGAGTGTATGCGCATGTTTTCTTTTTATTCAGGATGTTGTAGTTTCGTTCTCGATATATGTTGTAGTAGTTGTCAATCAGAGTATTTTTTTCCATTATATTTATACTAAAATCTCCCATGATGATATGGCTTTTCTTCTTATTTGCAATATTATTAATCAAAGTATTTTCTAATTTCGTAAAATCAACATGAGGAGGCTTATATATAAGAGTGATTGATATTTTTTCTTGTACTAGTTCGATTGTTATTATTTCTATTTTATTTATGATGCTGTTTATTTTTTCTTTATATTCTATTCCATGTTTAAGATATGTTAGTATTCCACCTCCTCTCGTTTGGCGCGATCTAAATATTGCATTATATCCATTAATGCTATATATCTATGTGTCTATCACTATGTGTTCTTCTTCTGGTGATTACCATGTTTCTGTGATTTCCGGATAATTTTGTATTTTGGGAAAGGTTTCAATTTCTTCAAACTTGTTTCTAATGCTTCTTATGTTTTGCATTATGATGTTAATCATCTACGGCAGTCGTTGTTATGTTATTTTTTGTTTTTATTATTTTATATTTATTGGTCTAATTTTTCGATATCTGTCAACTATATGATTTTTATTTTTTCGTTTGTTTCTGTTTTCCTGATATATACGTTACCGTCTCGAATCCATGTATATCTGATTTTTTTCTTTCTTTAGCTGTCTAGTAGCGTAAAATATTTTCCCGGTTAAAGTTGTTAGGTGTTCGTTTATGAATATATCGTTGTCCCTTCCTTTAATGTGACATTCTCTTGTTTGTAATGATCCAATTTCTTTTCGTGCTTTCAAAATATTAATTTTTGATTGCTTGTTGTTTAGTGTGATTATGATTGGGTTGTTCTCGTTATTTGAATTTTTTCGGTAACAGTTTTGTATAGTTGCAATGGTATTTGTGTCACAACGCATTTGTAATATTTTCATTACAACTTCTTTTGTACTTTCACTTTGATCTATTTTATCTACTCCACTAATAACTATATTATTTTCAATTTAAGGATCGTTTCTCGACCGTACTTTTAGTATAAAGGATAAAATCTCAGGTTATATCGGTCTGTTTTCATTCAATGACACTCATTTATTCATTAAAGCCTCTATATTTCGTTAGTGGTTACTAACATCATCAGGAGGTACCAAGCTACAAGAAACATTATTCTTTACAACAAAGCAATCCAGCAAACAATACAAATATACAAGATAAGAGTTAACATAATAAAGACGAAAATCAAAGAACAAAAAAAAAACACAAAAATAAATCAACAAAAATTTCGTTACAAATTACAATGAGGTAAAAAACAATAATATATGGCAACTAATTATATATAAGTAAAAACCAGAAATATTAATTTAATAATCTAAAATAACTTACAATTAGAGTTAAAATATCGGTACGTGCACACCACACATTATAAATTTATTCTGTTAAAGTAAGTACGGTATATCAATGCGCCGAGATAAAATTCATTTACATGTATTAAAAAATCTTTAACAAAAAACCTACTACCACAATCAAAAACACTAATAATTATTTCTTTATTAACAAGTAAAAAAACTTTTTTTAAACATTATTTAAATTGTTGAGATATATTAATATTAGTATATAATGATTTTAATTACTATTAAATGTACAATTATTATTCTAATTTATTTTACATTATTTTTCAAAACATTGCAATAAATCACACTCAGTTTGTCAATATCCGACCTAAAATTAGTGGAGTTTTCTTTATTAATATGTGTCATTTCCAAGAACAGTCTTTTATTATAATTAGTTTCACGGTCTAAAACTGAGACATTTTTGTAGTCGAAATTATGGTCTTTATCCTGAAAATGAATTGCTAGAGCATATGAGCGTTTGCCTAATTTGCTATCACTTTTGTGTTGTGCTATTCTTCTTTTTACAGACTGGGATGTTTGGCCAATGTAGCATCCCTCACAGCCAAGACAATATTATTGTATTATATTAGACTATATTGTTTTCTACTTTTTCTCTCTCCTGACTTTCGACAATTTTTTCAAGGGCTTAGTCTTTCTTTTAACATTTTGTTATCTTTATCTTGGGTTTTCAGTATCTTTTTCAGTTCTTTATTTTCGTTTTACATTTCATCAAATTTTGCTGAGAGGAATTCTAGACTTTTCTGCATTTCGTTAAGTTTTTGGTAAATAATTGCATTTGAAATAGTTTCAGTGGCTTCCATTTTATCTTTATCAGGTACTTTTTCTGTGTTTTCCTTTCTTGTGCGCGTGTTTTTGTTTGACTCATTTGGGTAATTTGGATTATAAATATGAGGGAAAAGAATAAGACAGGGACACTCACTTCACCCTAGCAATGCCCGTTGCAAGGACTTTAATATTTTTACACACAAATGGGAAGGTTAGGCAACGGAGAAAGGATTTTATGTTGGGCAGTGTACAGAGGTTTGGTTTGGTTTGGCGTAATTAATGTAGGATCGATAAAATACGCAAAAAAGTTGTACGGCTATCTTGGTGTGTTTACGATAGGCTGCTAAATTGAGTTAATTTGCCGATTTAAATCTAAATGC